AGCAGTAATTAATTAGTAACGTTAACAGTAATGATCTATAACGGGTTACAGGTACGCTCATGGTATGTGTAGCAATATATATATATATATCGATATTTCCGACACGACGATCTGATCAGAGATGGTCAATGTCGTTTTCCTTGGAATGTTGTAATAGTTACACTTCGAAAATGTTTCAAGTGAAATCTGTTTCGACGAAATTTATGATTATCTAATCTTTTTATGAATTGCTCTTTTTGAAGAGGCCATTAGAAGATGGTCTTCCATAAAGAGATTGACTGGGAGTGATGTTGCACGAAATAGCCCGTTTGTACTCTAGCGCAAGAAGAAAAAAAAAATGCTTGAAAGTCTTACAGAGTAAAATTGAAAGTGAAAGGGCTTTGGATAAATTCAGCAAATGATTTTCATGTGGGAGCAAATGACATAACATGATCGATGCTTTGTCTTAGCGATAATATCTTATATTTTATTAAATTGGTTTCCCATTTGATTTTTAATGGGTTATAGTGATCGCAAATTATCATGATAGATAGTTCAATTAACAGAGGGCCAACATTACATATAAACTTCATAAATACGTAAAGATCTTGTGAGGGATCTCTGGAGGCTGTGTCGGTTGCTCTTGTGCCATTAGTTTATGCAAGTAAAAGTATGGAACAACTGCTGTTAAGGTAATCACAAAGAAGTATCGCAAGCTATCTATTTTAAATATCCATGTATTTTGTAAGTTACTGTTATGGGACTAAAAATTTTATTACAGAGATAGCCGAGGGGTTGAATCATTGTAGCTTTGATAATGTGTATAACAACTAGATAAATGTGATGGATCCACCACCATTTTGAAGCATCATGAATGACACTCCATCATCGCCTGATTACTAAGATGATTACAGATACGTCGTATTTAAAAGCTTATAATATTGTCTATATTTCGGTCTCCTAGAAATGTGAAAAAAACTATACACTTGCCTTAATTTATTTTTTTATAAACTATTGTCTATCTAATGGTCGCCGCCCATTTATAACAAAATTTAGTATTTATTACGGTTGTGCCTTCAAATGTTTTGAGAGGTGCTCATTTTTATGGGGTTTCGAATTTTTGTGGATAACATGTTTTAATATGGTTATAAATTTTCGGGACTAAACATATTTCTGTGGGGTTCAATTTTTACGAACTTTCGAAGTAAGAAATAAATTGAAAAACACAGATCAGGCATAGCAAGTGTAGTTGTACATGATAAACAATTTTTAGAGCACAGAAGATTAGAGAAATCATATTTCGTGGCGAGAGGGCATGCGCCATTGACATTGGGGGAGGGAGGGGAGAGGATCACCCCTACAGGTTCAAAATAATGTTTAGGATATAGGGAAGATCGGACCTATAAAAAAATTATGTTCACATGGTAGGGAAAGCTTTAGAGTGGTCGAACGGCTAACGTGTGTGCACAGCACCGCCGTTGCCCAGCAACCTGACATAGCCGTTCCGGTGCCGGGGGAGTCTTTTAAATCCCTCTCACACCCTCTGGCCCGGGAAAACCCCGTATAGTCTTAAGGGTAAGCTTTAGAACAATTTTTTTTATTTCTTTAAAAACTGGTATAGTGCGAATGTGATCTTACTTCGCAGTAACAAATGTCCAAGTGACAGAATATTGTGATATTCAATAAATTAAAAAAAAAATGATAAAAAAACTGGTATTTAAGGCTTTTTATTCTGGTTTTGTATGTAAATATGAGCTTGTTTTATACTATAACATTTTTTTGATCTGCTTTGCTTGAGGTGACTACATGATTTTTTCGACGTTTGAGTGGCCTAATCTCGTTAATATCTTTGGAGTGTATCCTAATTTAAAATTTATAATTTGGTCAAAAAAGAGAAAAAATATTTTGCTCTTTAAGGAAAACATACGATGACATGAATAAGTTGCGATAAAGGAGGAGTTGTGATGCAGATACGGCACTAACATGACAATGTGAAAGCGAACTGGGCCGACTGACCAGGGGTCACATTGCGTAATGTTACGTTTCCTTGACGTCCGCTCACGCACCTGTGTAATGTCATTGTTTTACGCGAGTAAAGGCGCTTCACGCTTCTGCTTCCAGGCGTTGTTAAGCCTATCCTTCATTCTTTTATTATCATTTATTTATGAAGTAATTTAGTTAAGTACCATTTGTTAGTTAGTAGTTTTAAATTTTTTCTCTCTTGTTAATCGCTTCTTCTTATAATCCCAGACCCCTTTTTATCTAACTATTAACATCCGCCTAAAACTTCGTAAATAGCTTCTCTTCATCATAACCTACAAATATTTTATTTATCGAAATTCTCGGAATTGGGACGTTTTAAATCTGGAGATCGGCAAACTTTGTCTATTTAATCAGGTACTAAAAACTCATGATTAACTATTTGCTTTCTACTTGTATCGTAAGATAAAATGATTAAAAAATCGAAATAAAAGCCTACAAAAATATTGGGCCGTCTGAACTATTTAACCTCTTATTTTAAATATTTTGGGGGTAGTGATCAAGCCAAACGGACCAATATTGTTGTAGACCACCATTTTTTTCGACTTTGTGGTCATATTATCTTACGATTCAAGTGGAAATGGATATTCATCAGTTCTTAGTGTCTAATTAAATAGAGAAAGTTTGGCGATCTCCAGATTTAAAACGCCTCAAGTCCTTCAATTTTCGTAAATAAAATATTTGTAGGTTACGATGAAGAGATGCTATTTACGAAGTTTTAGGCGGATGTTAACAATTTGATAAAAAGGGCCTGTGCCACGGACAATAAGAATAATCCATTAACAAGTGAAAAAAAAATTTGAGGCTCTTTACTAACAAACGCTACCTATTCTTATTCATCTCATGACGAAGCTATTTACGAAGTTTTTGGCGGATGTTAATAGTTTGATTAAATTGGGTCTGTACACCGGAATATTAAAGAAAGGAAGAAGTCTTGATTTCAATTTCTGTTTAAAATTGTTTATTATTTTATAATTTATATTTAATTATTTTCGTGTTGACTTATTCATTGAAGATTTGAAAAATTATATTATTTAACAAGTGGACTGGCACAATACTTTTCATCTTTTCATGTCTCTGCGTAGCATCCCTCTTGAATAAAGAGCGAATTTAATAGTATTGCATTGTAGTTTAAACATTTAATATAATTTAATATTTATCATGAGTAGATAATAAACTCTAATTATAATACGTAATAATAACCAAAGTGGATATAAAACGTTTTTTTGATAAAAAAATGCTCAGTATCTCTTCGAGATGTTGCGGATTATAATGTGACAGGAAGAAAGCTCTTCACGAAAAAACAAGTTAATTTGTCCGTGTTAATACAAGAAAACTCGTAGTTGGCCTCATATTTATTTATTTTTTTTTTTTTGCAAAAAGTCCTACTCTGAATTATTTCCCATAAAATGTTTTTCTTAAATTGTCTACGCCCTTCTTCCGTATTGTTTCTATAGCCCTCACGTTACATAATTTATTTCTTTCTCACATCGTTTTTTGTTAAACTTCGTATTTTTCTTTCAAATTTCAAAACCTCATATTTTAAATTGCAGTACTTTTCGATTCTGCAAATTCTTTGGTAATCTTGGATTGGACTTAAATTAGAAAATTTTCTCTAACTTCTCAAGTTTTTTTCGAAGTATTTAATTTTGACTTTTCTCATTTAGTAACCCTGCCCATCCGCCCTATTTCTTTTTATTAGTAATGATTTTACTTTACAATAACAAGACAAATCAAATATTACAGAGCGATGTCATAACAGTTAATCTCTAAAAATGCGTAGTTCACTATTAAATGACAAATAAATAATTTTATCAATGTATTTACAGTGAGCCTAGATAATAATACATGTTCTATTCATTAATATAATTGTAAAAAAAATTTATATGTCAGAAAATAGATATGTACAGATATGAATAAAAATAAGATAGCGAAAAAGATATTTACAATTTGACTTTGGTTACAAGAGCGCTAATATTAATCTTTTTCTTCCAATATTAAAATTTTAATTACTTAAAGGAAATTTTTAGAAATTACTTAAGGCCGTGTTTGTTATGACATTTTATCAAAAATAAACAAACTAAATCAATTGACATTTTTCAATATCGATTGATTTAATTTATACATTCATCCAATTAACAAAAAATCGTCTTCGATTGTAATTTGAATATTGTTGGATACATAATATATTAATCCGAATCCTGTTTCTGCCGTTTGACTTCTGTATCGGGCTCACGAAATATTCCAAGAGCTTTCCAAACTGGAGCTAAAATCAAATCGTAGTATGTTTTAGAATATTACAACACTAACATTGTTCATCCTGTGTATTTTCTGGACATTGATTTTGTTATAAAGAAAATATTTAATATCTGAAAAGTAATTTTTAAAATATATCAAATATAAATAAATCAATTGTACAAAATACAATTAAATTTTCTTTGTTTAAAGATGACCTTTTGTTACATATATTCTGGTTTAAATATGATTTATTTATGTTTTGATAACTAAATCATAATCAAATGTAAATAAAATTACATGCTTTCTAATGACACTGATAAACAACTTCACTGCGTTCAACAGTTATTTAGGAATATTTCTGTAACTTATTTATTTAGCGATTTGAAAAAATATTTAGTTTCATTGTATGAATAAAAAAAAACAAAAAAAAAAAACATTGCTTAAGATTTTGCTCCCAGATGCTATTATAGTTTTCTTAATTTAAAGTTGAGAGTATGGAATTGATATATCTATGAGCCAAAATTTATTTTTATTTAGCTTATTGATGATTTTATTCACCTCTGCTATTCCTATTTCACTATTTAAAATTATTTATTTGTAGAATTGTAATGCAGATTAGAATATTCATTTTGAAGCAATGATAAAATTTTCATTGACTTATAATTTTGTAATGACATTTAATGTTGATATTTTATTTTTTGTATTTCTCAATAGAGAAATTTCATTTCTTATTCAAATCATATTACAACACTACGAAGGAAATGGTGTATAGAATAAAAAGTCGTATTTATAAAAAAAAAGTATAAAAATATATTTAAGTTAAAGTATAAAAAAGATCACAATTGAATTGGTAAGGTAATCATGGTAACTTAGTGATGGTATGACTCGTATCCTCCTCCATAGCCGCCTCCATAGCCGCCTCCGTAGCCGCCCCCGTAGCCTCCGTAAGAGTGCCCGTGATCATGGGAGTGGACTGGGATGTGGACTGGAACTTTGACTTCTACTGGATAAGGCACCTTGATTGGGATCTTGATTGGTACCTTCACTGGATAAGGCACTGGCTTCTCTACTGGGTAAGGTACTGGCTTCTCAACAGGTACTGGGTAGGGTTTGGGGATGTGCACTGGGTAGGGCCTGTCCACTGGGACTTTGACTGGGTAGGGAACTGGCTTCTCAACTGGCACTGGAACTGGCTTTTCAACTGGTACGTGCACTGGGTACGGCCTGTCTACTGGAACCTTGACTGGGTATGGGATGTGCTTCTCAACGGGGTATGGGACCTTCTTTTCTACGTAGACTGGGTATGGCTTTGGTACATGAACTGGGTAAGGCCTGTCTACTGGGACCTTGACTGGGTATGGAACGTGCTTCTCGACAGTGACTGGATAGGGGGCTGGTACAGGTACTTTGACAGGGTATGGTACTGGCTTCTCAACGTGGACTGGGTATGGCTTTGGTACATGGACGGGGTATGGCCTGTCGACGGGGACCTTGACGGGGTAAGGTACCTTCTTCTCGACGGTGACTGGGTATGGTACGGCTACTTCCTTATGGATGGTGATGGCCTTGATGTGTTCTTCATGATGACCGCCATATCCACCACCATAGCCTCCACCGTATCCGCCTCCATATCCACCTCCATATCCGCCTCCGTATCCTCCGATGTCACCACCGTGGAGAGACAGACCGATATCTCCTCCAGAGATACCGTGACCACCTCCATAACCGCCATCGAAACCACCTCCATGACCGAAGCCAAATCCTAAGAGTCCTCTCTTTTCTTGTTTCTTATCATCTGATGGTGCTGCCTGCTTTTCGACCTTGGCCTCTGCCTTCTTCTCTTCTGCTAAAGCCAGAGTTACGAGGGCCGCCAGCCCCAACCAAAGAATCTGAAATACAAATAGATTTTCATGTGAATAACTACACATTAAAATTAAGTAACTTTTGTTATTTGTAAGAAGAATTCATATTAAGACTATGAAAATTCATAAATAAAGAAGTAATAATAAACAAAATGATTTATCTTCGATACGAGGTAACAGCCTCCATCATCTGTGTACCATTGTATGCTAATGCTGAATGTATATCGGTTTCATTTAGAACTGTAGCTCGGAACCATGGCCGATCATTATAACGGCACTATAATTATGTGGGATAATATCGGTAGGGCTTTAACAAGTAATGAACACCGCTATTCCCAGTTGGGTAAGGCCCTAACCAACACCGGAAACTATATGTCCCGGTGTGGTAACTTTTAACGTCAAAACGGTGAAAGTTATACATTACTCATGCATTGCGTTAAATAAATCTTTATTTTGCAATATTTTTTTATAATGATTTCTCATAATTAATATGAAGTTATTAAAATGAACCTGTTTTTATTCTAACGCAGTAATTAGTTATAATTCGTTAAAAGAAAATAAAGACATTTTTACTATTAAAGAGAATTGTAACTAATGACATAAACATACGTAATTGCAGTCATACAAGATAAATATTCAATTCCATTTATATAGAACACTGCTTCATTGAAGGAAGAGGAACTTCGTGTAGAAGCAATCGCCTTAAAAGTTAATGACTTCAAACTATTAAGCGGCGAATACTGATTCGCTGGACTGTCGGCATTGTGGACGTGAAAGTATCGAAGTGGTTCTTTTAGAGAATGCTTAATTACTTATACTTTTTTTTTTTTGCTGTGTCATATATTGGCCTCTTATGAGTTTTAGTGGGCAAATAATGTGTTTAACCAAGGTTTGCTTAATCCTCGGCCCTAAGTAAAAACATTGGTATAAAACATTGGAATACTTATTGTGAAAAACTTTTTATTATAAAAATATTTTTATATGGATCGAAATGAACGATTATTGAACTTTTCAAGCAGTTGAAGTGAGCTCCAAGATTTCAAAAGTGGTAACGGAACGTCCACACGTATGCTTGTACTAAATATATAAATTTATGTATTCCCTCATGTGTTTAATGTTTTGCTATCGATCCATCGATTACTTTCACCTAATACAAGGAAGCGAACCGGATGAAAATTTTTCTGTTCTGCCCGCGGCTAGTGCGGCTTGTGTATAGATTTTATGTAACGCTTCAAATGAAATATGCACTTCTTCCTTAGAGGCCGGTCACGTTATTAGAAAGTCCCAAAAGCACGAGGAGCTGAGACAATGAATAGGTCAATATGATTAGACTGTATTTATGTAATAGTGGGAATTTGTATCTTCGTAGTGTCATTCTAGAGCTATTAGGATTAGGGAAAGAGAGTTAATCTTTCCTTGATCGATTTAGATTTCTCATTTTAGTTTAGGGCAACGTCGGGTCTTATACTAAAAAAAAAATAGGTAATCTTTTCTGGAAATAAATCCTTTCAAAACTTGAACGAAGTGATGACATCAAAAGGGAATTAGTGCTATTTTCCCTAATTTATTTAAACGGACCGTAGTTACCATATTTATAACTGTATGTAGGAAACGATTTTTTTTTTTTATCCGTATGTATGTTTAGTTTCATTGGTTATTATGTAAGAAATTCTTCGTTACTTATTGCTTTTTTTATGTACCTTGTAGCGCTTATGGCGGTAATTATAACACAAAAAAAACCTTGATGTCTGCACTATTGTAAAAATAGATGTTAATTAGAGAACGTTACGAATTGATTTTTTAATACTTTATTACAGCATCTTTTAAATTTAGAGTTGTTGACGATCTTCAGATCTTATTTGTTGAAAATACGGAAATTATGAATATAAAAAAAAAACTGATCACTTTTGATTAACGTTAGTTTTAACTTGATCGTGCTTAGACACATTTGTAGTTTTACTTTTTAATAATTAACTTCTTTACTCAGTATTTTGTTACATCGTTAATAAATCTCTATAATGGAAATTCACCGGCCTCAACGAGAGTTCAAGAAATCGTCAAGTGTGTTAGACACCCGACAGAGCACTAGAAAACATCGCGGAACTGTCCAGACACGCCACAGATTATCTCCACTAGCTCTAGCAAGAAAATGTTTTTTCGGGCTTGAGAGTTTTGAATCGCTATCCCAGGAACGTTCTGGGATCTCTCCGTGATCCTGTGAGAAACGAGATCTAATAGCCAACATTTGGCAGCCGCATTTCGAAAGAGTGTTAAGTGACTATTTCATATACGGCGCAGTTACTTAGCATTGCGGAATAGTGTAGCGTGGTTTCCCAAGACCGAAAACTCGTTTTCCCTTTCTTCCTGGATACGCAGGTGTATCCTGTTCTATTTTGGTGATTTTTGATTCAATACCATATAATTTATTGGAAATTGATGGTTTGTTAACTATTTTTATTTCCCGAGTGTATTCCCATTTTTTAAAGATAAAGTTTATATGTTGTATATCAGAAATCAAAAATAAAAGATATGATATTTAATGGGAGAGAGAAACTATTTCACTTTTGGTTTAGTAAAGGCCGTTTGAGCTTTAGAGATAGAGGTCTTCAAAGTTTTTTTTAATTTTTACCGTTAATGAAAAAAAAAAGAATTTGTTCTGAGATGATATTTATTTCATCCTGAAAATTAATTTACATTGAAATTCGTGTTAGTGATTATATTAATTAATAGATACAAGACTAAAAAAACCGGAGCTTTTATATTTCTGTTATCGATACAGAATTTCGTCCATAAGACAGAATTTGTTTTTGGCAAAACTATTGAACAATCTACCATAAACATTTTCTAAGTAATGTTCTTCCTGTCTTAAATATTACTTAATTACTGACCTTAAAATTGTTTAAAAACATTCTTTTACATCAATATCTAATTTTTAAGTTAATTCTAGTTTTGAAAATTTTATTAATATTTTATAAATATTTTTTACTTTTCCTTCTTTTATTGTTCGTATTTTAATATGTTCCTTAAAGAAAATAATCAGATATACGGATCGTTTCGTACACAAAAAGCCAAATCCTTTCCTGGATATGATCGTGGTTTGTGCTAGATTGCACAAATTGGCAGCGCCCACTCATTGGGCCCAAAATGCAAATGAATGACTAGGCTCCGATTTTATCGAATTCTTTGAGTATGCTAGGTGTGTTTGTGTCAAATAGCTTTCACCCTTCAAGCTGACCGGGTTATTCCGATGTCGTAACGATTTGGACTCCCGAATCGTTTCCTGAATGAGATTCAGATGAATCTGGCTTGGTGGGTCTTCTGGATGGAATGTCAAATTACCTTAAACGTTTATAAATAATTACTGTCCATTCCATAATTTTGCAGTTTGTATTTCACTGATTTTGAAATTGTTAATTACGTATCTCTAATTTCGGATAGTTGAATGATGGGTAATAATTTGTTTGCTCTTTAGAAATATTTATAGATGTGCAATAGTTATAGATGTTCAACTTAAATTTTTAGGCATTTTTACGCTTTCCTATAATTTTGTCATTTTGTGATTTCCACTCCAACATTATTAAAAAAAAAATATCATTCTACGTTAAGAAGAAAAATGAGTAGTCTATTGATAAATGTATAAAACCGAAATTAATACTGAGAAATACGGTTGACAATCCTTGATGGACCTACTTAGCAACCTAATCATCATTACACCAATGTTACTTTTTTTACATAGTAAACTAAACTGTGAATTCATTTGTATCCTAACACTTATAAACATAGATACTTATTAAAATACTTTGTGCATTTTCGATTTATAACTGAAATTCCCTATTTTATTTTATAGAATGGCTCTAGTACCCTATGTTTCAAGTATTGTTGAACACGGATATAGATAAACGTATTTAAGAATTTTCATATATGTTTCAAAGGTATCAAAGTAAAGAACGGTCATACTCGCATGTAAATGGACAATTTTTCAAAAAATATATTTGATACAGAAATTTTGTCAAATAAAATCTGCCTCGTGAAGAGTAAAATTAAAATATCATTAATTAGAAAAACAACAGAATTCAAAGTACTCTCCTCATAGCATTTAAAGACGATTTAAAAAAAATATATGAGTATTATATTTTGCTCAAAGAGTATTTATATTTATGTTATGGGCTAAATTAAATTAATATTTAAGAAAAATAGAATATCACAAACGCGGTATTGACTATGTCTTGCTGTACTCAGGGGAGTGAATGCTCAACCGCATTGCAGTTCTGCCGGTCAGTTTTGTTTGGGTTTCGTATCTGTTTCATATTTATTCCTAATAATTGGGACCAGATATTTTGATATTTTAAAAGAACTTCTAAGTATTAGAAATATTTAGCTAGCAAAATTTAGTTCTACTTAGATATCTATTTAATTTCTAACCGCTATTGAGTACTGATGACTACTATGTAAGTAGAAACGTCAGTAAAATAAATAAATATAAGAAAAAAGTATATTTTATTGATATTGATGAAAAATATTATGTCTGAGGATCTTTTTTTTTATAAGAGAATTTTTTAAAAATAAAATAATATTAAATAAAACTTATCAAGTAATGAACAATAATCCTCGAAATTAATGAATTCGAATCCTTTTTACGACAATTTATATTTATTGTAATTTTACTGAAATTAATAAAATATACCAAATAATTTTATAGGTTTGTCTGAATCTGTTTCATCGAATTTGACTATTTAATAGTACCACAAAGCCGTCTGTGAACTATTGAAATTTTAAAGTCAGTTTTGTATTTTATAAAATATTTTTATGAAGTACAAATAAATAATAAAATAAAATCGAGTAGAAAATTTGAATTATTAATAGTGAATATTCTAGTTTTAAAAATGTCTTTCAGTATAAGAATTTGTTTTAAATATTTTTTGAATTTCTGCTAGTTCGTTCGTTTGTAAGTTATTTTTTTTGTTGTGATGTTTTTCTGTTTTTGCTGTCCTGTAGATTTGTAGCTTACCTTGCTCTGCATGTCTGTGTTACTATGAGTTTGTATTCCGAACTGACGATTCTCCGTTCCTCCGAGTCTATATACCTCTCTTGTAGCCCCCTCCAACCACTGGTGCACCCTTACACAATCAGTAAAAGTCCCCACTAGCCGGCCACTGGGGGGTGCTTCAGGAAGAGGTGACCATCCTCGTATGTATTTTTTTAAAATTATATATAGTCAAATTTATATTGCCTTTATTAAAATGAAAAAATGAAATAAATTAATTTTTTTATTTGAGCGTTTCGACCACTGGGGTCATTTACACTGAATTATCTTTAGTCACTTGTAGTAAATAAATTAATTAGTTAATTTATAAATTAGAAAATTATTATTTTTTATTCATTATTAACTCTTACACGAACATTTAACAATTTTACTATCAGTTTTTTAAAAATAATTATCGATCTGAATTCAGTAATTATCTTCTATTGCTCTCTTCCATTGATTATTCATTTGATATAACGTGTTTAAATTTAATTTAATCAATAACCATAATGAAATCTTTCTAATTTTTCTTATATTTATATCAATGTATTTTTATTGTATGATTAAATTTAATCTGGAAAAAATAAGTAAATATATACTAAAAAATTATGACAATTTTAAAAGAAATTCTATATTTATTTGATAAAATGGATATTTTTCTATTTCGATTACTCGATATGATAATTATTCGCTATTCAAAATATTTATTATTTATTGCTCGTAATATAACATTTGTACTTTTTTTTTCATCACCTTATAATTCTATTTTATATAAGAAATCATATTTTATTTATTACATCGTATTTTTTAAATAATGTCAATTGAGAACTATTTGATAATAATGAATAAGCTATACCCGTATGTGCTTGTTTTAGGTGAAAATTTTCTAATATTATAAAATAAGGCTCTGTTTATTTTTTCATCATATTTATTTTAATTTTCATAGCTACGTTTCAGCCGGTAAGCCATCTTCAAGCCATCTATAATCTATAGATGGCTTACCGGCCAAAACGTAGCTATGGAAATTAAAATAAATATGGTGAAAAAATAAACAGAGCCTTATTTTATAAAAATAAACTAGATTTGTTTTTTAAAATTTATTTCGCCTCTATCCTTAAGGGCCCAGTGATACCTTAAATTACAACTATTATACTTTGTATATATTTTTTAATACATAATTAAAAAATGTATACATTTCTTCTTCATCATCTTGAAGTATTTCTTCTATCTTCATACCCATCTAAATTTCTTAGATCAATATGCATCATTAAAAAAAAGTACTATTCTGGTAGTTTGGTACTGGATACAAAAGACACCTCTTGGAAAACTTTGGGGGTTTTCCATCGTTCAGATTTTTTGTATATTTCCTTTAATTTTGCCCATCTTTTTCTCCGTTTTTCATTTCATTTTTCCTCATACAAAGGAGGCAAGCTGATGTGCCCAGTCTTCCCTAGGGATAGCCTATGGTTTAGTGAGTATCTTGGTGGACGAGCTTGAGTTGGGAACATCAGCTCTCTCGTTATCATAGATGCAACAGTACTAGGGTACCTAAGCGAAGACTATCTTTTCGTTTTCTTGTGTTAATGTCCAATGTAAACATTTTTTTTTAACTTATCATTTTATTATATTTTTGCCATTATAAATTATTTTCTATATTATTGAATGTCAAGTCCTCGATTTTTCAATTGCTTTTATAACAATCATAAAATCGATTGCTCGTTTTCGAAAGTGAGCTGGGCGGATGTGCGAGAGTTTTTGACGGCATTGGCTTCTATCGTGAAGACCTTCTGGAAGGTTATAGGGATGCGAAGAATAAATTATTCACTTAATTTTATTCATTTATTCATTATTTATAAATAATAAATGAACAAGATGAAATCTTCTATTTAGTATTTTAATACTTAAGAATAACGAATTGATTAATTATTATAATGGCTTTTATAATAATAATTTCTTCGATATTTAATCCATTGGAAAATAATATTTGCCGAAGTACGATTTATATTAATCTAAATGCAGTTTATTAATTATAAGATTAATTTTAATTAGAGTTAAGGTAAATGTACCAGTAATAGACAGTTTAAAACTCATTATCAGATAACCTTTATAGACCCAAAACAAAGATCAAATATCAGTAGATTTGCAGTTAAAACACTTAGAAGAGTGATGAATCTCAAGAAATATCATGCCACAATTGGCAGTAGATTTAATGGAGCAAGGCT